TAATTTCATGCAAGATCACAACATCAAACCCAATAATTAATTTCCATAACTATGAACATAACTAATATTTTCATCTTTGTTTTCTAATTTCTTCCAAATTATATGAAATTGAACTCAAACTCAACATTAATTTCAAGTGTAATACATGAATTCTACAAAAATCAAGATTGAAATCCTTACCTTTAATCTTCAATTTGATAGTTTCTTAATGATCTTCCATTTTGCTTTCTTCAATTTCCTTCAAAACCCACCAACACAAAGCTCGCTCTCTCTCTCACACACAATTTTGCCCAGCTCAAAGAAAGGAAAAGTTGCCTACTCTCTCTCCTTAGGTTCACACTTATATATGCATACACACGCAGCTTTCTCTGCACACATAGATTTCTCTGCACACCCACCTCCAAATACACCCTCAATTATAGACCATTCAATAATTCAATTTATGATTAGGATTGATTTAATTAAACAACACTTAATCTGATTAAATCTTGATTATCACATAATTAAATTAATCATAACCAATCACCAATCCTACATAATTTAATTAGTCTAATTGACTTCAATTAAGGCCTAATTAATTATATTTAATTTTTACCATTCTGAATCAAATTTTTAATCAAACTCCTGAAAGGCTCCAAATATTAAATTAAGATTATTGCCATCATCAAATTTTGATTTTCCAAATCATTTAGGCCTTCAATTTCTAATCAAACTCAAAATTTTCATCAATAAATTACATATTCAAATTGGACACCTCATAATTAAATTTAATTCACAATAATCACAATTCTCAATTTTCATAACTTGATTAACTCCAATTCGGACCCAATTAATAAAATCTCAATTTTACTAAACTGAATCAAATATTTAATTAAACTCCCATATGGTCCGATACTCAAAATTAAAATAATTCAATTCGTCAATTTCACCTTCTTGAGCCACTTAAGCTTTTAATTTCTAATTCTGAAATAGCTCTTTATAAAATTACATACGAATCAATACCAACATTGTTCATCAAAACCACAATTAAATTAAAATAATAATTAATTAAAATCCAAATCACCTTGATTAATTAAATATAAAATATTATATGTGGCAGAGTCGTCACAGTTCATCACCTCAATTCACTTGTCTTTAGATTACAAGGTCTCAAAAGAAAGGTATATATTTATTGTATTGTATCCCTACCAAACCCTAACATCTTTTTGCTTGGTTGCTCTAATAATTACTATTTTCTAGAAAGTATATTTAGATCATATAATTTTTTTGGACATTGAAACAAATGAAACTGTGAGCAAATTCAACATTGAATTTTGAGTTGATTCGTATTAGGTTTTTTATTTCAATTTGTGATTTGGAGATCACGTTTTTGTAATTTTATTGAGTTTTTGTTTTTGAAGGTTTATTCGAGTTGATTTATGATTGTGGAGTCGATTTCAAGTTGATTTGCAATAGAAGTGTTTGTTGTTCATTGATTTCAAGTTGATTTGGCCAGAGAAAATCACAGGGGAAAGTGTGTGATTTGGCTGGAGAAAATCAACATGACAAAGGAAGAAAATCAAATTTTTCTGGCTATCACACAGAGAAATTTATCTCGGTCGTTTAAAATGTTCATTGTAAAGGTAGAAAAATCCCATGATAGATAAAATCAACATGCTAGAAAAAGTTATACACATCAATTTTGAGTTGATTTGCAGTCGAGGTGTTCGTTATTTATTGATTTTGAGTTGATCTAGTCAAAGAAAATCACAAGGTGAAATATGTGATTTGGCCAGAGAAAATCAACATGACAAGGGCAAGAAAATCAAATTTCTCTAACCATCACACAGAGAAATTTATTCCAGTCCTTCAAAATGTTCACTGTAAAGTTAGAGAAACCCCATGACAAAGAAAATCAACATATCAGAGAAAATTATACACACACAGACACAAATAACTAGTTTGAAGAAGAAGCTCAAAAGAAGAGTAGTAAGTAAATTTCAAAGAAAATCAACAAGCATAAGGAAAATTTCAGAGAAATTTCATACCTCAAAGGGATACCTTAATGCTAGAGAAATTGTAGAAAAAATCAACATACAAGGGAAATTTCAATTTTACAAATTTCTCTAGCTATTACACACAAATCTGGGAGTCTAACATGGTCAAAGAAATTTCAAATACCAGAGAAAATTTCACGCACACACATACATACAACTAGTTTAAAGAAGAAGCTTAAAAGAGGAGTAATAAGTAAATTCCAGAAAAAATCAACAGGTACAAGGGAAATTCCAGAGAAAATCAACAGGCACAAGGGAAATTCCAGAGAATTTTCATATCTCAAGAGGATATGTTAATGCCAGAAAAATTTCATTTTTACAAATTTCTCTGTTTATCACATACAAATCTGGCCAAGTTTTTAGGTAAAAAAATCAACTTATCAAAAGAAAAACTTTCACAAAATTCTCTAAAATGATAGAAAAATTAACTTATCAAAATACAGAGAAAATTTCACGACAAAGAGAAAATCAGAGAAATTGAGCAAACCAGAGAAATTACATGGAGAAACTTGTTTGAAATTTCTTTGTGTTTTGAGATTTCTCTGAAAAAATGTTGAGGGACCCTAATCACGCTAAAAATATTGCATGCTCATTATCCTATAAAATCTTATGAAAATGTTTTGTAGCTCGAAACATTTTCCTCTCGAATTGCCCGAATTTCTGAAACGACATCATTTTCATTTTGAATTTTTTTTTCTTCTTTCCCTTCCACTTCTCATCAGACTCCAAAACCATCTCTCGCTACTCACTCTCTCCTTAGAGTCGACTCCATTGGAGCCCTTAATCTCTTCTAAATCCTCTCATCTCTCTCTACTCACTCTCTCCTCGAGCCCTTAATCACTTCCAAATCCTCTCATCAGCTACGGGTGTGGACTCGCATAACAGATCTTCTACGGGTGTGGACTCGCATACGGCGATGTCGAGCAGCAGAAAAAAAGGTACCACAACAAAAGGTAAACCCATAATCGCAAAAAAACTAGGGTTTGTGTTTCTATGTTTGGATTTTTCTTGCAATTTCTGTTAGGGTTTTGGTTTTGGCTTGAATTTGTAGAACATGTTTTCCAGCCTTATCAATTAATGATTGTTAGGGTTATGATTGTTTGTTAGGGTTTGGGCATTATGGGTTTTGCCTTTAATTTTTGATTGTTATGTTGATTTTGATTGGCCATTATGTTGATTGTTTGGGCATTATGGGATATGTGTTGATTAAGTCAGACATGAGTTAATAGGATTGATAAGGTTTTGATATCTCAATTTGAGGTTTGGACATAGCAGTTAAGGTGTCATATTAGAGCTTGGAATTTTAGAAATCTAGAAAGTTCATGATTCATTTTCTTTTTGATTTACTCACTTTAGTTTGGAATTTCAGTGTTTTGTGTGAAAAGAAAATCTGAGGTATTTTAATCTCCTAAAATTTTTTTGTCATCAGGATTCAGTGTATAGAGTAAATTTATATCCTCTTAAATATGCTAGATAAAACTAGATGTTGCAAACTAGTATGTTTGTAGGAATGAACATAAGGAAATAGCTAGTGCCAAAACTAGTCTGGATTTTGAACTCAAATTGTTGGAATGCTTCAAGAAATTCATTGAAATCTTTTTATCCACGAATGAAAATTCTGTTATTTTTTAGCAGCAAAAAGAAAATTTGTTCATTTTACAATATACTTTGGAAATGATTGGAGTCTTCAAGTGCTTAAAAATGTGGATTCCTTTCTCAAAATTCCTGGCTTTTCTTAATGTGGTGGAAGTTTATTAAGCCAAGGGGAATTAAATCAGTTCCCTTGTGGGGTCAAAAACAGTCATACAGGTATTTTTAAATTATACCTTCTTTGATCATGTATTTACCATAGGAAAACAGTGACCCATTAGCAGAAGAATGTATGTGGTTTCTTGGAACCTACCTAGGAAAGAACACAAAATTTCTTCTTGTTTACTTTTGCTTACGAAGCTGGCTGCATATTTACCGATTAAAAAAGTACAGGGTTTTAATAACATTAATAAAATAGTAGGTATGTATGTATCAACAGTAGCAATAATAGCTATGTATGTATCATGTCTGTGTTTTCCATTTTGTATGCAGATTACAAAATGGCTTGTTCCTCTAGTAACAATAGCAACATAAGATTGAAACCAAGATTGTGTGATTGTGGGAGAACAATTGCTATGCACATTGTCTAAACCAATTAGAATGGAAATAAAGGGCGTGTGTACTTTGTGTGTCTATAGAAATATGTAAGCAGTATGGAAATTTGTTTGGAAATTTATTAGTCTGAATTGATTAACTGATTGTCATGCATTGTAGATTAGTGAGGAACACTGCAATTACTTCGAGTTCACAGATGATAATGACGACGACGTGATCTCCAATGCTACACCTCGTAAATCTATAAGAAGCGAAGAATTTAGCGATCTAAGCACAAGGGTCTATAAGATGGATAATGAATTTCAGGAGCATGATAGAAGGCTTCGAAGGGTGGAGAAGAAATTGAATGTGATGCTTTATGTCATTGTATTTTGTATTGTTTTCTATTTTATAATGTAAATTACTGAGTTGATAGCTTTTGGGGAATTTGATGGATGTACTTATGGATTGAATGGACTTGATGGATTGTGGGTATGTGTTGTGCTTCATTCAATGTGGGTAATGAAAAACATGTTCTGTTTTCAATTATTGTTAATAGGTTGTGTGATTTGTTGATCTTTAGTGCTGGAAATACTTTTTCAATATAAACCTGTAATGGCCTTTCTGGTTTGATGTTAGGGCTGCATTCTCACATGGGAATTTACAGGAGTTCTACATAAACCATTTAAGTGTCCTCATCTTTAAGGCAATTTGTCCTCAAACTCTTTAAGAGGTAGATTTTCTGTAAACTGCTTTATGTGCAAATGATAGATTTTCTATAAATAAGAGGCCTACAGTTAAGAGGGAAAATGATTGTCAAACTGTCAAATGATAAAGATCTCATTGCCTCTGCAACATATCCATTCTCACAGCCACTTTAGAACCAGTAGCCATTGTACTACAATTGTGATCCAAAAGAATGGTGCCACTAACCATCATTTTAAAAATAAATAAATAAATGTAAATATATATATATGTACAAACGCAGAATGAGAAAAATAATGGATAACTTATGAAGATGAACAGCAATGAATAACTACATAAATGATTTACAAACATACATTCTATATTAATCGTCGAGTACAATCTTATAATTCCAGCTGCTACACTCTTGTCACTGGAAATTGGAGACAATTTCAAACTTTCAGCACAAAATGTAATCTTTAGACATTTATGTTTCACGGTCATCTCGGTGCTAAGATCAAAGTCCAATCCCATTTGCAATCCGAACTCGACCATTTTAGATAGCACACATAAAAAGCTAACTTCCTTGTATGTACTGACTGTTACAACACATTGCAGAGGCAAAACATGAAGCTGCTGCTTAATAGACCTGTCATTCTGGATTGCTCCGATCGTAATAAGAAGAGGTGCTTTGCTGGAAACAGAACTTGACAGATTCATCATTTACAAAACCTGTTCAAAATATGCAGAACCTGTTCAAAATATGCAGAACCTGTTCAAAATATACAGAACTTGACAGAACCTATTCAGAATCTGTTTAGAATCAAATATAACCTGTTCAAAATATGCAGAACCTATTCAAAATATACAGACCTTAACAGAACCTGTTCAGAATCTGTTCAGAATCAAATATAACCTATTCAAAATATGCAAAACCTGTTCAAAATATACAGAACTTGACAGAACCTGTTCAAAATGAAATATAACCTGTTCAAAATATACAGAACCTGTTCAAAATCTACAGAACCTATTCAGAATCTGTTAAGAATCAAATATAAACTGTTCAGAATTTGTTCAAAACCTGTTCAGAACCAAAAATATCATAGGTTTACAAACATAAGTTCGCAAACCTGTTCAAAACATAAGTTTACAAACGAATGTCATAAATACTAAATGGGGCGATTGGATCCGCATCTATATTGAAGTCCACAAAAGTAACTATCCCAAGTTTACAAACGAAAGTGATAAATACCATAGTACAAAACTAAAAAAAAAAATGGAGCGTTTGGATCCATATCTATATTCAAATCCACAAAAGTTGAACCATCTATATTCGACATTCCTGATTCATTCAAAGATGAGCTTCCAATTTTGTCCACCATTTGCAATGCACTCTCTTGTGTTCCATCCATACAAGGAAAATAGTAAGATTGAGCTTACGACACCTTATGATACATAATAACAAAGTATCATTAATAAGTTTAAACATTGAAATAAATACCATACAAAAAATCATAGTGGACCATGAAACACATACCAGATCGTACGCATTGTCTTTCATGCCGTCTGTATAACCGAAATTCAACTTACGAGGTTCACATTGACCCATCTTACGACCCTATAGTAACACACATTGGTGAAAAAGTTTGACAAAAATAAATTATGAAATTTACATACAAGCAGAAAATAAAAAATATACCTGGATTTTGGTGCCTTTTTATTCTTTCCCTTCAACCGATTCACTATTTCGTCCACCTTGCTCACCTTTCGTTTCGTACGTAGACGACCTCTTCAACGAGCAACCAAAGGACTAAGCACCTTGTGAGTAGTACTAGAAGGTGGCACATTAGTACTAAAAGGTGGGACAGTACTACTAGAAGGTGGCACATTACTCGCACAAGCAGATTCATCTTTTCTTACTCTTTCCTTGATTTCTCTCAACCCAAGTTGAATGGCTTTGTGTTTACCATCATCGTTGGAAGCAATATCTATAATTTCATCCAATGTCTTGTGGTAGTTATCATGTACCTTTGCATTGAGGGCTGCCCCGGATTTCATGTATGTTGTTGGAATACATGTGTACCCTCTTTCCAAATCTTTTCTCCATCTCGGCATAATGTACTGATCTGTAACCTCATATATGCACCTCTCAATGAGCACACTAAGGGAATGGGCACACATGATCCCCCTAAACTCAAACCACCGACACACACATAGCATTTCAAATTCAGTTGAATTAAAGTAAACAAGAAATTCAACTTTCTTCATTTTCTCACCCACAAGCACAGCTTCCTTGACATGATAAGTACAAATGGATCCCTCATTCTTCACAAGATTCGCATGACAATACAATAGTCACTTCAATTCTACTTGAACTTCTTTAAATTTCGCATTTGTGTAGGTTGCATGAAACTGCTTCTCAAACTCATACACCGTTAAACTATCATACAATTTGTTTCGAGATTCGAAGTCTGCTTTAGTCTCTTTCTCAACCTTACTTCTCAATGCATTGTTGTACTGTTCAACAAATTACTTTAAAGTAGTCTTTGAGTTTACATAGCCATCAAAAAATGCATTCATGCTTTCACTTCGTTGTGTAGTTGACATGGCAGCCCAAAATATATCTTTCACGTAAGCAGAATCCACCTATGTTGCTCACCATATAATACCCCCAACCACTCGTTGTCATGGAGGCTAAACTTTTCAATCATCGTTTGCCATTCCTCATCAAATTCATCTTTTCTGAAAGAATCATACACTATATTTTGTAAAGCGAATTTGATGGCTTCATATTGGGAATATCCTCTCAATTTCTCAGGAATTTTCTTCATTATATACCATAAACACCAACGATGTCGAGCCTGTGGGAAGACAATTTCTATGACATTTTGCATGGCTCTGCATTGGTCAGTAATAATAGCTTTTGGAGGAGTGGCTGACATGCAATTTAACCATTCTTTGAATAGCCAAACAAATGTCTCCATGTTCTCATTACATAATAGCCCACAACCAAACAATATTGACTGTCCATGGTGATTAACTCCTACAAACAGAGCAAACGGCATATCATACTTGTTTGTGAGATAGGTGGTGTCAAATGAGACAACATCCCCAAATGCTTTATAAGCCGCCCTACTCCTTGCATCTGCCCAAAACAAGTTTCGTATGCGACCATCTACATCAAAGTCAATTGCAGAATAGAAGTTTGAATTTTCTTGTTGCATCCTATGAAAATAAAATCCAACTGATTCGGCGTCTCCTACCCTAAGCCTCAATCTTCTAGCATTTTCAATGTGGTTCCTTGCATCTCTTTCATCAAATGTTAATGCCTCATATCCCTCCGTTTCAACAACTATAGAATGAAAATTCCTAGACACCCATATTCTTGCTTCATTGTTTATTTCTAATTTTCTCTTCACAGGAGTACGAATCCTTTTATTCATTGGAAAATGCTGTGAGTTGCTAGGAATTAAATCATGCATATGCTCAAGCACAACTGTAGTTAACTTATATCTTCCATCCGGTTGTAAAGTCGCTCTTACCTTTGCTTTACAATCAATTTTTGATGACAATGATGGTTTCAGGGGGTTTACTTTTGATCTTTTTGTCCTCTTCTACGCCCGAGTACATTCAATTCCAAAGTGTTTCACTTTTCCATCCGCTCCAACATTTTATGTTCTGTAAGCTATAGCAAATCCAAGGTTTTTAGCATATTTCACATAAAAACTCGTGCACTTCTTGCTTTGAGGTAAAACACATCCCCTTCTTAGGTTCTTCAATTTCACCACTCTCATTTAATGAAGGATTGTTCTCTGCTTCCTTAACTTCCTCACCCCCACTCAACGTAGGATTGTTTGAATCAATGTCCATTGTGTGAAACACTCTACTGTAATTTGTATAAAATCAGCACAATGAAATGCACAACAAATCATAAATAAGGTTAGAGGCATCACAGATTCACAGATTCAGATTCAGTGATGTTAAACACCACTTAGATTCAAATTTAGACATCACAGATTCATAGATTCACATAAATAAGGTTAAAGTGGATGTTAAACACCATTTAGAGCCATCACAGATTCAGTGAGTACATCACAAATATAACCACTACAGATTTAGACACATCACAGATTCAGCTATAGAACAACAAGGCAACTACAACTTTGTATACATCACACATGCCAAACTAGATTCAGTTATAGACAGATTCAAATCACAGTTTGTATACACACAGATTCAGCTATGGACACATCCCAAAACACACATATACATCACACATAGCAGAAGAATTATATAGCTATACATCACACACATAGCAATTTTACTTTGCTTATTGCAAAGTGCTGTGCATAGAAGTCTAGAAAACATGCAACTAATTGATGAAAAAATTGGAAATTCCATTCAAGATATGACATGCATTCCTTAATATGGTCTTCTAATCCCCTGTCAAAACATAGAAAATCAACAAGAACAACCGTATACCCCAAATAGATTTCTTAATTGAAATCATATACCCATATAGACCCAAACATGGATAAGCATTCTTCTAATCCCCCACATTCAAGCTTAACAAAAAAATATAAATTTATAAGAAGAAAAAAAACAAAAAAACGCACCAGCAGATTCAGGTGATTAAGCGACATTCACAGATTGACGGACCAGCAGATTCAGGTGAGTACAATGCGTAATCCAGATTGACGTCGAAGTGGTCACTTTCGTCGATGGTCACCTAGGTCGGTAGTGTTAGCACCGGTTGATCTTGGCGGTGGTCGCTCTTGCCTATTCTTCTTCGACTAGTTCCTCTCTCTCTTCTCTCCTCTCTTCTATTTCTCACGCGTAGTGTTAATTGACCAATGTTGCAACTGAGCCAAACATTCAAAAATCACCTTTTTCAAATTCGGGCGATTCGAGAGGCTCATTTTCGAGCTACATAGCAGTTCTGAAAATTTTAATACCAAGGATCTTAAAAAAATTACCCATTTTTATTTTTTTTTATTTTGTCTAAGAGACTCTAGGAGATTGAAATTAAAATTTTTAATTTCTCAAAGTTTTTACTTTTCAAAAATTAAGAAATACACATGTTACAAAATTATTGGAATATCTAACCCAATCTAATTTAAAATTTTAAAACTTTTATATAAAAAGTTCAAAATAAAATCTTAGTCACATTTAAGTCAAATCACATTTGAATTCAAAAAAAAAAAAAAAATTGATAAAAATTTTAAGACGAAATTTTAATTATGCATATTTAAAAAGAAAATTAATCTCAAATAAAATTTTAATAGAGAGTTTTTTTGATAAATCCTCTTTCTAAGAATTTTATTCCATCTAACCCATATTTTTTTGACTATTCCATTAGGTCCTATTTGAGGTAAGAAAACTAAAACACCCTAAATTTCTCCTGCCCTCTTTAATGTTAATTGTCATTAAATCTTCACTCCAAAAAAATACATTAACTACACACAACTATTTAAAGTTAATATATATTACACACAAAAAAATAAACATAGTTTTTTTATTGATTGTCATTATGTTTTGGTAGTTCTCATGCATCCAAATGTTAACTGTACATGAAGACATGAATATTTAAATTGGATGACGTGAATGTGAATATTCACATCAGATGACGTTGCGATAAAGGTGATGTTAAGGTTCACATCAACATTGTATCAAATTACACAACCACAGGTCTCAACTTTCATTTGAATATAAACATGACATAGATGTTCACACTAAAATATATGAATGTGAATGTTCACATAAATTCTGGAATATAGATATTAACATTATGAACATTAACATATGTATTCACATTTATATGTTTTAGTGTGAACATTCACGTCATCATATACAGTCAACATCTATCTATCTATCTATATATCATATAAGGAAAAAAGGGTTTCTAACTCACAAGTCTTGTGGGAGCTCTAATACCTCAATCTTAATTTCCTAATTTTTTGATTTAAAAAAAAAAAACTCAGCACTTATTGACTTCTCTCAAGCATTTTTGACTTCTCCCATATACACTCTTTTCAACTTCTCCTATATCTATTTAATTATTTTGGAAATAATAATTATTCCCCTTTTTCAACTTCTCCCATACCTATTTAATTATTTTGGAAATAATAATTATCTCTTAATTTATGGATTTCAAATGGAAAGATAACAAAAATATTTCATAATCTCTCAATTGTAATTTCTCTCATCGATTTCCAAAAGAAAATATTAAAATTTGCCTTGCTTTTCTCTCCCTCAAAAAATCAGATAATATTTTTTATGAGAATTGTGGATATCTAATCTATATCTTATATATTATATTATAACATAATCCGAAAAATAAAAATAAAAATTAGAAATACAAACAGATAAAATTAATAAATATGACTTTTATTTATTCAGTTGAAATCTATATTTTGTCTCTCAATATCCAATTTTAAAAATCTTTAAAGTCTATCTAAATAAATCTAATTTGAAAATATATCACATTATCATACTTTAAATCAATAAAACTCACATATCTAACTCACATCATAACTTACCTAAATAATAATAATTAAAAACAAATAGAAGTCATAGATAAATTAAATAAAAAAAATAGAAATCCACAACTCCATCTTAAATAAATTGAAAAAAAAATAGAAACCACACAAAAATAAATAAGATAAGAATTTAGATATAGATCTCAAAAAGATATGATATTATCTAAATTTGAATTATGATTTAATAATATAATTATCTATTTTTTTGATGTATATCTATCAAAATTTTAAATCATTTAATGAGACAAATTAATCAAATTTTAAGTCTTATTTAAAGAATAATCTGATTAATCATCCTAACTCTTAGATTTCGTGGGCACTAGCAGAGGAGCTGACGGATTAGGCAGGGTGAGGACTAAGTTGTTGGAGGGTAATATCCTACAACTCCATAAATTTATTTGTTTTTTCATTTTAGTTTTTTTTCTCTGTGTGATTCTCTTTCTCTATTGTTGGTTTGGTTTTGGTTTCGATTTTAGTGAAATTAATGTGTTTGTTTACAGGTTTACATGGTAGAGAATAATTATTGGTGATGATGGTTTTAATCGAAATATCTATGTTCATTATGTGCTAAGTAATTTGATTAGATTTTTTTTTTCTCCAATGAAAGCCATAAAATTGAAGTAAAAAAATAGATATCGATTTTTTTTTTATTTTAATATCCTACAACTCCATAAATTTATTTGTTTTTTCATTTTAGTTTTTTTTCTCTGTGTGATTCTCTTTCTCTATTGTTGGTTTGGTTTTGGTTTCGATTTTAGTGAAATTAATGTGTTTGTTTACAGGTTTACATGGTAGAGAATAATTATTGGTGATGATGGTTTCAATCGAAATATCTATGCCCATTATGTGCTAAGTAATTTGATTAGATTTTTTTTTTCTCCAATGAAAGCCATAAAATTGAAGTAAAAAAATAGATATCGATTTTTTTTATTTTTTATTATCATTTTATTTTATAGAAAATGTGAAAATTTATTGGGAATTGAAGATTGTACTATAATATTAGATTTTTTTATAACTAGGTAAATTTAAAACTTTTAAATATCATTGTGTTTTTTTGTTTTTTTTTTAATCTTCTTTCTATCCTATTATACCATTATTGTTATTTGTTAGTTTGTTAATCATAATTCAATTAATTAAAAGTGAAAGGTTAATATAACTTTTCATATATATTAATTTTGTTACCGCTATATTTGTATATAATAGCATAATATATAGGAATAATCTCCAAATATAATTTCTATTTTTTTATGTGATTAAAATAGTTCATCTTAAAATAGTATATAGAGGAGTTAGATGACTTCTTTTATCTCTAAAACCCAATCTATTTTTATTTTATTTTTTTTATGTTTTTTAATTTTTTACATTGAAATATCAGTTATTTATGTTCACAAAACAAAATTGATAAACACATATCCATAAGATACACATTTTTTCTTTCTTTTTTTAATAGGTAGGATATTTACAAATGAAAATTGTTTGACATCTTAAAAAACTTTTCATAATCCGACTTATAATGATGTGGTCATACGTGTCAATTTTTATGCAAATATGAGAAGAGAATTAATCAAATTATAAATTTCAACCAACTATATACTCAAACTTTCACTATTTCAAGATGTTATTTCACTATAATTCTAATTAAGAGAATCTTCAACTTTTAATTTTTTTTTATCGAATTATAATTTGATAAAAATTTGAAAAGATGAAGCGTTGGAAATTATTATTATTTTCCATCAAAATTGATGAAAAGAAAAAAAAATGGAATAAGAATGAAAGTTCTTTTAAAAATTGATAAAAAAATTTAATGAAAAAGTTAAAGTAATTCATATCAAATCAAATTTTTTATTCATATTTAAAATCAAATAAGATAAAAAAAATTAAAAGAAAATGATAAAATGTTAGAA